GGCGGGGATCTTAGTGGTAAGGTTACGGTTTAGAGTTTAAGGCCCAACGCACCAAAGAAATAAAGGACCCAGGGATCATCGGGCATCAGAATATAAGGAATCAGGATTTTTAGGGCACCAAAAATTTTAGGGTTCCGGGCTTATAGGGCTTATAGGGTTGCTGAGGACAGCCACAAAGAAACGAAGCAAAGCCCATTACATATTATTCTCCGAGAATCTCAAACCTCAAAACTGCTTCACCGCTTCTACAAGGCCAAATGAACTGGCAAGCCAAGAGCTCGTAGATCCAATCCTCCCTTAGACTCCCGTATTTTCTCCGTTTATAGGTTAAGGAGCATGGGTTTGAGGTAGGTTAATAGATTGCATGTGCAGGCCTTAGAGTGCCAGCATGGAAAGCGCTCTTCGGCCCTTCGCAACGCTGAAGGCCCCCCCTTTCGCATCCCTTACACGCTGAGGTTCCGGAAGAGCTTCCAAAAGGCGCCAGAGGGTTTAGGGTTTAGGGTTTAGGGTTTAGGGTTTAGGGTTTAGGGTTTAGGGTTTAGGGCCGTTTAGGTTTATGGTCTAGGGTTCTCTGTTGATGGAGGGGGATTGGGGTGGGGGGGAGGGATCGAATTGCAAGAAAACCCACAAGGCTTTGGGGGGTGTTCAGCCTGCTCGTTCGAGGGCTCAGCGATTCATTACTGGTCAGGGTCCAGGATGTAGACTGGCATATCTTCTCCGTGTGTCACCCTAAACCCTAAGGCCTGTGCGATTGTTGCAGGTCTGCCGCCTTGTGAACGAGGCCTGGGCCTGCGCGATCATGTGGATGTCTGCATCTTTGGGATCGAGCAGCTGGCCATCCCAATGCCCTCCTCGCATGACCCCGTTCAGTTGTCCTTCTACGAACAGTGCCCCCTGTGTTCATCCCTACTACGTACTGTTAGCATAAGGGGCGACATCCCGACCCTTCCTCCTTGAACACAAAACACAACCTTCAGGCCAATGAGATGGCGCAGGCGTTGTGCCCCAAGGAACGGCTCCTCTTTGGCGCAGAGGTCCTGACGGACCGAGGGATTTCAAACCCCTGCCTTGGGGACGAAATGAACCCTAAAGTTGGGGTCATATACCCTATGCTACTGTAACCCCTAAACCCTAAACCCTAAACCTAAACGGCCCTAAACCCTAAACCCTATTCAGGTATATGGATCATAAACCCTTCTCGGTTTCATTTCGCCCGCAAGGTGTTGCTTCGCCGTCAGTCACATCGATTCGAGCCCGTATGAGACTTGCATCGCTCAACAAAACTCCCAGACCCAGAGCTCCGTCAATGGCATAACAGGGAGTGTGTTCTTCGCATGCTGATGGGATCTTGTAGGTGAAGTCTTGTTGATGCGTACTCGTGACACGTGTAGTGACACCGTGGCCACTCTGATCCCTAAACCCTAAACTCTAAACCCTCTGGCTGTTCACTCCACTGATGTACTGGGCGACGCTGCGCCAGGACTGTTTCGGGACAGATGCCGAGACTGTTGCGGCTCGTCCTGCAGCACAAGTCTCGTTGCATTGTACCGGAGATGCCGACTCAGGGACGAAAAGAACCCTCAGAGGGTTTAGGGTCCATGATTAACAGGGGTTATAGTAGTATTGGGTGTATGACACCAATTTTAAGGTTCATTTTCGTCAGCAAGGTGATTATCTCCCTCTGCGTAGAGCCAGTGAAATCTTGCTCTCGCGCCACTGCCCTAAACCCTAAACCCTAAACCCTAAACCCTAAATCCTAAACCCTAAACCCTAAACCCTAAACCCTGCATCAGGAAAGCATTGTGCGGGTGAGAAAGCTGGAAACGGGGAAAGCGCGCTGGCGAGACGTGGTGAAGTCAAAGGTCTTGGACAAGAAGGAAGCACCGTGGCCACTGGGCAGGGTTTAGGGTTTAGGGTTTTGGGTTTAGGGTTTAGGGTTTTATGGGTTGGATTTTAGGTTGCGGGCTGGTCGGGCAGTTTTCCATTCGCGGCTCGTGCTGCATCAGTTAAATCGGTCCTGAACTTTGGCCCTGCTTGGGTAATAGAATCCCCTTATGATCCCAAAGGTTGACCTTTAGTTCCCCCAGGTTACTGGACAACGCTGTGTAGGAGTTCACGTTCATGCACCAGTAGTTGTGAGGTTCAGACTCGTGAACCAGTAGTCGCGGCCTGCGCATCTCACACCGAAGTGGCACAGGTCCTTGCTCGACACCTTCGTGACTGTCAGCATGCAGAAAAAAGTCGGCACCAGCAGCCACACCATACTTCTGCCCCTTGGTGCCAGCAGCCTCACTCACCCCAAAGCAGCTTTAAAATCCTCCTTCGGCACCCAACACCCTGTTTTCTTCGCTAGAGATGGGGGTTCCGAAATTAGGCCTTATCGTGATCCTTATGGAAAGGGAATCCTACTATTTGGAGACCGCCAGATGAGAGGCCTTGCCTCACTGCCAGGCCACCACTTTGAACTTTCTTTATCAAATTGCACACGTCCCTCCTTTGC